CTTTCCCTCTCTCCATCTCTTTCTACTTCTGTGCCTTTGTTCTGTAATTGGCTGTGTGTGTGTGTGCCTTTGTATTACTTGCATTATGGGGACCGAAACCTGTTAACGCACTCACATTGTGGGGACCAGCCTCTGGTCCACACAAGGAAATCACTGAATTGTAGGGTGGCAACATGGTTTAAGGTTAGGGTCCGGGTTAGGTGTTAGGCAAGTAGTGGCTATGGTTAAGGTTAGGATGGATCTACAGGAAATGAATGTAAGTCAATGTAAAGTCCCCACAAGGAATGAAAACACAGCGTGTGTGTGTGTGTGTGTGTGTGTTTGGCATAGATCAAATCTCTGTTGTTCATTTATCATTTGAATCCATATATTTGAGTGGTTGGAATACAGTACCTCGACTAATATGTGCTCTCGTTCTCTCTCTGTTTCTGCCTCTCCCTTTCTGTCTCTCACTTTCTCTGTTTTTCTTTGCCTCTCTCCAGAGACCTCAGTGAGAACCAGATTCAGGCAGTTCCGAGGAAAGCTTTCAGAGGAATCACCAGTGTCAAGAACCTGTAAGCACAATGACTACCATTTTTTCTTCAGCTTTGTTTCCTTCCTCCTTCTTTCCTCTTGCACCTCCATCGTTTCCCATCTGTTTCTGTGTTATTGAACCTAATTTCTATCATTTTCTATTAAAGAAAAAGGTTTATCTCAAATATGATTGCAGAATGTTATCTAATATTCCCTCAAACTTAAAACCTGCAGTTGGTTCCATCATTACAAGTTCATTTTGTGCAGGCAAATGTTGTACCACATATGTCACACAGAATTTTGTGGAAATATGTGTAAAATAAGACCGAACACATCTAGAACATCTGTGCCATTCTGGATTTGAACATTTATTGTGTAGACATCATATATCTTCAGTGAAGAGCCTGAACAGTTTTATGTAGGCTAATGCATGAATTTAATCTACCATATTTACTGTGTTTGCTGGAAGATTTAGATGTTACCACACAGAATCTGAGGACATCTTGGTAGATATGGCATCAGAACAATTTAAAATCAATTTAGTTTTTGCCATAAGCAGTGGATTTTCTTGTATGAATGAAATTCCCTGGCACATTTCCCAGTTGCACATGGTTTATCTGTTGTTCCCATTGCCCTGCACCTCTTCACGTCCTCTTTAGCATCCTGCTTTCTACTACTGCTGGCTGTTCTGGCCTTTCCTTCCTCCCCCTCCTCATCTTTTTTCTCCATCTCTCCCTCTTCTCTCTCTCTGTCCCAGAAGTTTTCGTCCTCATATAAAGTGCTCAGTACCCCCCTGTCATTTATTCATGATGTTCTAATCACCGATAGTGTGATCAGTATGGTGATTAATCAGTGCTTCAATCAATAATGGCTGGTCAATTCTTACACTGCCTGATGCTCCATAGGAAACTACTAGAAAGATGTTTGGGGGTAAACAATGTCATCAATGTGAGGAGGTTCAATACAGGAATAGAATAGCTTGTAAGTGCGATCGTGTAAGACAGTTCAGATTTGGATAATGCAGGGAAAAAGATGATTTGCTCGACAAATCTTCCCTGTGTAAATTAAAGACTGCTGTTGTGTTTTATTAGTCATGACTGACATGACAAAGGAAAAGAAGGAAAAATGGACTGGAAAAACGGAGCAGAACATAATAACTACAAGATGCAAAAAGATATTAACTCATCCTTCTGGATGCTCCCCAAATATTATTTCACTAGTAGAGCTGCTGACTGACAGAATGAAAACAAACAATATTCTTTGGTTTAATGAGAAAGGGAGAGTGATACGGTGAGGGTGAGAGAATGATTGTATTTTTAATATATTCAGGGGTATGTCATTGCAATGTGAACAAATAATATTAAGCACATGTTATTAAACCTATGACATGTGTGGAAAGACTACATGTACATTAGCTAAATAAAATAAGATAAAAAGTTCATTGAATTTTAAACTAGAAGTGAATAAATCATCATTGCACTCAGTAATGCAAAGATGGGTCAAATTTGATTTGCATGCCAACTGTATCTGTCATATTTATCCACTGGACTAGATGAAAATAAATCCTAATTTGTTTCATTTCATTATGCCAAAGAAGATATGTAATATGAATAAAGCTCCCGAGCAGCTACTAAATGGATTTAGTAGTGTGAATGTTTCCTTAGCTGCTGTTTAGAGTTTCAATAAAGGAATAAACCTCAGCTTTTAAACCAGTATCACTGAGACATTTTTTACGTGCTCAGAAATTGGAAATTCGAACATCTGTGGTTCCCTGGCAACTGGGGAATCTCCGTTTGCTGAGGATTATATGACATGATTAAACGTTACAGAATACCAACTAAATGAACCTCGCACTGGGATCCAGCTTGTTCAGACCCACCTTGGTAGCTGTGTGTGCAACTGTAGTGGTAGCTTTATGGTATTTTATGTATCTTGTCTGTACATTAAACTAGCATCTTGTCAACAAAATGACAACAAAGAACACGTTAGGAATTCTGGGCCCAGGTCTGGGTTGGCATAGTCATCACATTTCACTCCACTAGAGTTTATTTCAGTTTATTTCCATCTATCACTTTAAAAAGGGAACATACAGTATGTGTCCTTGAATTAGTAAGATCTCTCTATCACCTTTTTATTAAACAATGTGTGAATTGATGAATATGAATCTCGCTGATTCAGGGTTAGGCTGGAGGCAAATGTGCTCTTCTGGCTATGTTCCTCTCCCGAGTGTGATGTAAGTTCAATATGGCCGCCAAAGACCACAGGAGACTATTATTCTTAGGTTAAATGGAGCTTAAAGTGCATGTACTCCATGTTCTGTACTGCTATGTGTATGTATATTAGTGAGTGAGTGTCAGCTCCCATGGCTGGACTCCAAACCTTTGAGTGCAGGTTGGTGTCTGATCATAATTCACTTTCCTATTTCACACCGGACACAGTCCAAACTAAACGCTACGCACCGCCTTACAGCTTTGACTTTAGACCCATTCAAGTTTTTCACAACAGTGAAAAAAACATGAACCAACTACAGATCGCATTACATCACAGATCATATCACATATCACATCAGGTCACAGTGTTACAGCACCGTACAGTACCTGTTGATATTAATCTATTTAATCTGCTTTTATTCAGGGAAGCTTTGCTGAGCATGCTAGGTCTTTTAGAGCAATTCCCTGCCTCACATTCATTTACCACACACATTTATACCTGGATACTGCTGAGTACAGTCTCCTGTCCAGTTGTGCCACTGTGCAGATCCTCTGTAGAGAAGGTGAAATTCAATCTGAGTTTCCAGACTTTGCACTTTGGACATATTCTATCAACTCTAAAATGCTGCACCGTGCCTCTTACTTTTTTTTTTTTTTTTTAACAGCAGACTCACTGTTCTATTCCGGCTCCTCGCTTCCCCCAAAGCTATAAAGTCATATCAGTCACATTTTATGGTAAAATAGTGTCTGCCCATGTTAAAATGTTTTGCCCTAAATTGCTTTGACCTATAAACTGAATCATTTGTCAAAATTTCTTGTCAAAATTAGGAATCTCTGACATATTAAGATCATTCATTTCTTCCTCTCTTTTGGAGGGATGGAGGAAGGTGAAAAAAGAGGGAAAGGATGTCAGAGAAGAAGAAGGAGTGGAGGGAAGTGCATGTACTCCATGTACAGCACCACCTTCTTCTCCTCATCTTTCCAATTCTCCTCATCTGTCTGTAATTTCTCCTCTTGTCAGTGCTCCTTCCTTACACTCTTCACTCCTCCTTTCCTCCCCTTCAAACTGCATCACTTTTCATGTTCTTTTGTCTTTGTCTAGTTCTCTCCCTTCATCTGTCATCAAATCATTATCCTCTGTCCGTCCACCAATTTCACTCGCTCTCCATCTATTGTTCTTCCTCTTGTTTCTTTTACCCTCTCATCTGTCTGTCAGTCTTTTGTCATTCCTTCATCTTTTCTTCTTGGTCCTTTTTATATCTTTTAATTCATCAATCCCTATTGTTTCCTTTTATTCTGCTCACCCTCCATTTCTCTCTCCATTCCACCATGTCATTCTCTCCATCTTCCCTCCACTCCTTCTTCTTCTCTGACATCCTTTCCCTCTTTTTTCACCTTCCTCCATCCCTACATCCCTCCCTACATTAGACAAGGTGACTCCTGCTGTAAAACTCCAACCCTCCATTATAACACAGAGTAAAAAAGAAACCTTCATGACATTCTGTCCCTGGTGGACACAGCATTGATTTTCTTATATGTCTCTGTCTCCTTCTCACCCTGTCTCTCTCCATCTCACTCTCACTTTCTCCTCTCTCTCTCTCTCTCTCTCTCTCTCTCTCACCACCTGGCCGCCTCAGTTTCTCAGAGGGTAGGGTCTCTTCTCTTTTGGTTGTTCCTTTTCACGCTACCCAGTGGCTACCATAACACTGTGTGCCATTTAAAAACACATGACCCATGGACCCTGTTGACCCTGTTGACCCTGTCGAATGCTTTGCCGAAATGGCCAAGAACTTGGCAGTGTGATTTCTATAGTCTTTTGCAAACCTAAAGAGACAGGTGTACACCATGTATCTTTGTGTCTGGTTCTGTCATTCCCCTAAACCCAATCTATCAGTCAAACTACAGTGGATGAAGCTAAATGTAGAATTAAAATAAATAGAAAGCATAGTCCAAAATTCTTGTAGAATTAAAATAAATAGAAAGCATAATCCAAAATTCCTCTAATGCATTCTGTGTTTTATGGTTTTATCTGTCATATTATAGATGCAGTATTGTATCCCATCTTATCTAATCATATTTTCTCTAACCTAATTTTGCCTGTGTCTTGCCGTGTCCTGTCCAGTCTTGTCTTGCCTTGTCAGGACAGTCATCATGGTAACCACTCCTGTGAACGCCCAGCAGCATGCTGTGAATGAAAGACATGTGATCCCTCTTAAAACACAAGACACCATAGAATTTCTCAGTTTTCCCAAACAGAATGTGCTCCATCCTCAGAAAACTGACTGTCCCTTTGCACCCCCACCTCCAACACAAGACAAAATTAAAAGCAACAAGAATGAATAAGTGTGGAGTGGTCAGTGCACTGAAGTTAAATAATTTCTGAGTATTTAAATCATTCTAACTATAATGGCCTCTTTGGTCCAGTAGTGTTAGAAGATTAAATGATGTGAGTCTTATAACAGACGCGTGCCAGTTTTCATTTTTTTTTTTTTTTTTTAGTATACAGTATAACACTACTGCAGGTCTTAAATGGACCGTACTGCTGCGCCTGCATTGACACTGTCTGAGCTGCTGTCTCACTGTGACCGACAGCCACTAAGGCCACACCGGCTAATACCAACACATCTGTTATGAACCCTTTCACAGAGACAGTCCTGCTTGGCACATCCCTTCAGTTGTTTGAAACTGGGGGGAAAATGTGTTTTAAAACTCGGCTACATAAAAACAAAGTTTTTCAACCACAATAACATTTATTCCCTTGTGGACTATAAATGAGAAGTGTCATATAACTAATTAAATTCCATACAAATGTATTCATCCCTCAGGGGGTC